CATCAGGATCATCACCACCATGATCATCAGAAGTATCAGCACCATCATCGCAACAATGATGATTGTGACCTTGACATCACACTCATGTGGGTGAATCTTGTATGTGCATTTTTTCTGCTCGCTTCGCTCCCCTGCGATTCGAAGGTGCTGCGGTGAGAACCACACTTAAGCAATGGCTGTTTGCCATCAAGTAGATCTAAGTAGCAAAATCATCTACAGAATCTGTGAGCCAGGCTTGGCCTTCAACTTCGCCCGCTCATCAGATTCCATCCAAGCTTTGGAAGCTTTTGCAAGTCTAGACTGGCGGGTCTCAGGCTCAGTGCTCTCATACTTCTCCAAGAAGGCCCGGATAAACTCCCCCTTCACTGATCGAAGATCACGCTTCTTGGCGATCTCCTTCTTTTTGGTGTTCGTCTTGGTCTTGCTGGCCTTCTTTGCAAATGCCTTTGCCTTCGGTGAGGGATCATCGCTGGGTGCCATGTTTGCCTTGGCAAGAGGCTGGGTGCGGGGGACTCCTTTTGAAATCCATTTCTCGTGCCACCGGTCACAAGCCAAGCGATGCTTGCGCTTCTTCTCTTCATCACTTTGTTTGGTGCGCTTGGCTTTCTGTCCTGGCTGCTTAACACGTGCACGAAGCTTTGGCTGTTTGCCTTTGGAACCAGTGGGTGCTGAGCTGGCACCAGGTGTTGAGGCAGAAGGGGAAGAAGTCTTGCCGATCTCCTTGTCCATGTCCACAGACAAAGCGGGAATGCCATCACCAGGTGTTGAGGTAGAAGGGGAAGAAGTCTTGCCGTTCACCTTGTCCACGTCCTTCTCAGAGTTGACAAGAGCCTTGACTGAGGCAGGCTTTGTCTTGAGAATGCCATCACCAGGTGTTGAGGTAGAAGGGGAAGGAAAAGTCTTGCCGTTCTCCTTGTCCACAACCGTGACTGAGGCAGGCTTTGTCTTGGGAATGCCATCACCAGGTGTTGAGGTAGAAGGGGAAGAAGTCTTGCCGTTCAGATTGCCCACTTCCTTCTCAGAGTGGACTGAAGCCTTCACTGAGGCAGGCTTTGTCTTGTCATCACCGGGTGTTGAGGTAGAAGGGGAAGAAGAAGTCTTGCCGTTCTCCTCGTCCACGTCCTTCTCAGACTTGACAAGAGCCTTGACTGAGGCAGGGTTTGTCTTGGGAATGCCATCAACAGTTGTCGAGGTAGGAGAGGCGGAAGGCTTGACACTCCCCTTGTCAGAAGTCTTGACGAACTCCATCTCCAAGTTCTTCACTGCACTGGGTGTGTTGTTGGCGTCACTGTCATCAAGCTGTGTGTCTGCTGGATCTGATCGGCCAGGAAGGATCAAGGTGTCATCAGAATCGGCTGAGGGAGAGTGCGTAGGCAACCGATCATGCATATTCTCGATCTCAAGTCGGCGGTTTTGCCTGGCTTTGGCCTTGGCTGCTGTTGGGCAATCGTTGTTTTCAAAAGAAAGCCTGGCGCTTCGTCTCAGCTTTGCGGGAGGTGATCCATCAGTCCTGATCAGGGATAATAACCAATTTGCGGGAAAAAGAGAGACTCAGGGCTCAAAACCTTTGAATGCTTAGAAACATTTTGGACCGGAAATCCTTTCAGCAGGAGGTTCCACAGGTGGTGCCATCTGTGTGGAAGGTGCCCATGTGCAATTCAAGACTGGAACTGCCGGTGCCCTGATCGCATGGAATCCAAGCTCACTTGGAGGCGTTGACTCTGCAAATGAAACAGCGTCCTGTGAATCCTCAACCCAAACGATGTCCATGGCACCTAAGCCTATAGGTGTGGGAAGTAATCCCAAAATTGAACCCAATCTCACAGTGCACTGATGCAAGTCAATCAAATCAAATCAGGTCAAGGGGCGTTTCATTCCATCTTTATATCTACAATAAATCAAAGACCAGTATTCTCTTTATATATATATATGAATGTATATCTTATGTACTTTATTTGGGTCCAAGTAAGTGGCAATCAGGTTCCAAGCGGTTTTCACCTAAACCCTGTTCGCTACTGAAGGAGCGTGGTCTGCACCTCCTCTTTGCAGAACTGCTGCAGGCACCGGGGGTCAACACATCACCCCTTGCAACCCAATCGGGGCACATGGGTTGTGGGAACTGACATCGCAATCCCTGGCGCCCACGATTGGTTGACTACCCTATAGGTTACACCCCGGTCCAAGCGTCTGAGCGAAAGAAAGCCATAAGAAGCCTCTTGCCACCATTGATTGTGTAATTGTGGTATCATACATACTTTGAGTAGCTATAGGGTTTTCTAAATGCAGGGATACACCCAAAAGCCAGTAATTCTTTTCACAGTGTTCAGCATTCACATTCAGAGGACTCTTTGGCAACACTGATCTTCTAGGGCCAAGTTCGCGGCAATGAAAAGCAACGGCTTTGCCGCGCCCAAAATCTTCTCATTTGTGTAAAGCCTGAGTCGCCAGACCTGCAGGCCCAGGCGGCTCATGGAAACCACAAACTGATGATTGATGATTTTTGTGAAACAGTTTCAAATGGTTGATATTCAAATTTCTTTTGGTGGATTTGTTTTGGGTAGACTGTCCACAAGCGAACCAACAGCCCAATTAAAGTGTAAACCCCCGGCCTCCCTCAGCGCCCCGGATTCCTTCACCTGACGGGCGCTGAAAAAGCTTCCGCAGTTCTTGGCCTTCACGTTTCTCATTTGCACAGCTGCCGGTTTCCAAAGCATTGTGCCCTCCTTCGGCACGATATCGAACCTGCAAAATATTCATGCTGGTGACTGAGCTTGTTTTTCAAAGGGATCACGACAGAGAATTTCTTGAATTGGAGAAGCCCAAACTGACAGGAGATCAGTGGCTAATTGACAGGAGATCAGTGGTTAATTGATAGGAGGTCAATGGCTACCCAACCTACTAGTTGGTTTAATATCCCCTTGAAACCAAGTAATAAAGTGTCCTCTTGGGGCAAAACCAAACGAATTTTCACTCGACCCCCCCAAATTCCCTTACCTGTCGTCTTCATTTCCTTGACATACTGACGGTGGACGTTCGTGACGGTGTCCTGCCAGCTCGAACTCCACATGTCCTGATCGCTCAACTTCCTGCAGGATCTCACGCAGCGGCTTGCAAGCCCCATCATTGCCCGATGCGTCCTGGAGGCGCATGGGAGGGGAATATCAATAAGGGCCTATACTGACGGGGGGGGGCTATATTGTCTGTCTTTAAAAAGAAACAGATGGGGCGTATACTGTCTGAACATTCTTGGGTCTGTAAAGGTAAAATGTTTACCAAAACAGCATGTATGGATTTGGAGCTTATCATGTTTGAGCAGGGGGTGCTTATAAAGTGAACATGGTACTGTTACTACTATACCAGTATCTTATTTACAGGTATTGATTTCACTTGGTGGCCATCGCAACTGCCCAGACCTCCAAGACACACAATGCAGTATCGCTGTCCAGGAGGAAACGATAGCCTTTGTCCGGATTCTCCTGTCAGGGACAAGGTACCGTAAGATATGTTAGTATGAATGTGCTTCAACGAACCCAAGCCTGGATGAAGGTGTCAGCTTTCGCGTCGAGCAGCCACGTACCAGCACCGAAGCAGAGCAGTGGCAACTCAGGAGTGATGCTGCAGGCGCTGCCGGCTGCTAGCACAAAGAGCTTGGGTCCTTCTGTGATCACGGCCGTCAGATTGCCCTCAATGGTGAAGCTGTGCAACGCCTGGCCGTACTTGTTGTGCAAAGCCTCCTTGGTCGTTGGTTCACCTGGGAAGATGTCACCCCAAGTCGCAGCTTGCGGAGGTGCTTCTACTCCGCCAGGCTGTTCAGTGCTTGGAGGAGATGTTGTCTCCTGGACATGGGATGTCTCTGTGCAGCCCCATTTCCTGTCGAACTCCTTCAAGATTCGTCTCCATTCCGGAGCTCGGTGAGGATCCTGCAAGTACCGTGTGCGAATCTCTGGAGGGATCGCCAGTGCACCATCTTGATTGCTGCAGATTGCCAAAGTGGGCTCTTCTGCCACCACCGGTGTGTCATCGTCAGGATACGGCTTGTACTTTGGGAGAAGCCGACCCATGGGTCCGACACCATCTTTCCAGTCCTGCAAGCAGGAGCAGCTACCCACAATAAAGTCTACGTCCGGTTTAAATAGATAGATAGATAGTAGATAGATTTTGTTTTGTATATATATATATAGAGAGAGAGAGTGAGAGGGAGAGGCCTTTACATATAGTGTTTGAATCGAATCTCATATCTTATGTATATCTCATGAACATGATATAGCTACTTTTCTTTGAGTGATCCCCACCCCTGCACACTATTCCGACAAAGTTTCAGACATACCTCCTGGCAGTATTTACGGCGTGGTATATATATATGTGTGTGTGTGCTTATTTATTTGTTTATTTATCTAAATTCCAGACTGTCTCCTGGCATCTATATTGACATTATTTCTGGCATCTCTTCTGGCATTCTTAATGTCATCTACTCTCGCATTCTTTTTGGAATTTCTCACAACCTATCTTACATCACTCAATCATATATTCTGGCATTCCATCTGGCATCTATTCTGACATTCTATCTGGCATTCTATGTTGCATTCTTTTCGGTATCTGGCATCCATTCTGACATTTTCTCTGGCACGGGCACTTCACTCCACACTGAAATCTGGAGCTCGCTGTTAAGGTCCGGCAGTGCCCACTGAAATCTGGAGTTCGCAGCTCAGGCCAAAACAGTGCCCATTGAGATCTGGAGTTCACAGTTGGGGTCCGGCAATACCCACAAAGATCTGAAGCTGGAAGGAGGAAGGAGAACGAAGGAGGAGGGGGGTAGAAGGAAGGAAGAAGGAAGGAAGGAGGGAGGGAGGGAAGGAAGAAGGCAAGTGGCTCTTATAAAATCTAGAGGCCCTCGCCTGACAAGTGGGAAATAACATCATATTATTGAAAAATCATGTATATGAAGATAAACACAAAATGATTACTATCCATGTCGTGCATGCTACAAATTTGCTTGCGCCAAGATCATATACATGGTCCTGCATGAGCATGTTTGCAGTGGTCGTCAATGCGTAGCCATGGTTCACCGGCACATCGCTCAGGGAGAGGCATGGCACACCAAGCTTCAAGCAAGCTCGTTCAAGTGTGCCGTCATAAGGTGTTGAATTGATCACCACCATACGTTTCGTGCGGCTGCCTTATCATACCCAGGGGATCCCACGGGGCAAACTCAGTAACAGACGCAATGACTTGGATGGGCTACACCATTTAGTATTTCAAGGCATTTTCAGAAAACACAATAAGTGCCAAAATGCCGAAAGCCCCCTCCATCAGCGCCATCCAGAAGGCTTCTCCGGAAAGCCACTGTCCCGTTTCCTGGCTGTCGGTCAGATTTTTTCTAGTGTCATTGCTCTGTAGGAAAGCTCGTGCCATAGGGACATGAAACGAGCTCTCCGGGACTGCCGCCGGCACCTTGTCCTTGGGAAAACCTTGGAGCTTCCACAAATCACAGGAGGTGAAATCGTTGAGCTCAGTGGCCTTCATGTCCCTGGCATCCTCCGCGCTCATTTTGGGAGCACGATGGCTGGTGCCGCGTGGCGGCAGCATGAAATCCGGTGCACACATCCATGCCTGATAATACCCAGGCCGGTCAGCATTTCCATGGAGCTGAGAGGTGTCAAGGCACACCCACAGGTCACGCAGCTCCAGCTTGTGCTGCTGCATCTTGTCGACGATGGTCCTGTTCATAGAAGAACTCATATGAAAACCCAATACTGTAAACTTATGTAAACTTCAAACCCATTTAGTTTCCCAGAACATACAGTTGGGTGATGATAAAAAGGAGTCAAGAGCTACAAAGAACATGATGACCCTAAACTGCCGCAGTCAGCTGGTTTTGGACCCCGCAAAAGAATTTCAACATACTATTGGCGATCCGTCCTGTGGTTCTGTCGCAGAGAATCAGTTGTTCCAAACAGCAGTGGGGCCACGATCAATCCAGCAGAGCCTGGCGTAAAGTAAGGCAAAGTTGGTATCAAAAACCAATGGAACCAGTGGGAAAGAAAAAATAATAACAATGACACACTAGTGGCCAATTGTCTTCAAGTAACGTTTTGTCAATGCACTTTGCCATGAGTTGGGAATGCTTGTTCAACGCAAGGGTCTGCAGCACCCCCATCTTGGAATAGTCAGTGATCACAAAGATTCCAAGCTCGTCCGGTTTGACCTGTCAGGGGGTTATCCAGTTGTCCTTGGCGATTAAATTTATTGAAATACCTTCGGCATTGGGATCTTTTCGAGGTAAAACTGATAAAACCGTGCATCACCTGTAAAATGAGCCGTTTCACTAACCAACAATCGACCAGGCCCAAGATAGAAATTGACCAAGCCGTTTTATGGTTGGTGGTCATGCTTGGTTTTTAACCCTGTACTATTGGTACCTTCAACTCCGCGGCTGCTTGTTTCAGCCATCCGTCCATGTTGGGCACAGAAGCCATATCAGACACAGCAACGATGTTGGCGTGCTTTTCCATAAAGTTCTCCACCACCCTTGGAGCCATGCAAGGTGATTTTAAAATTTGGGTCTCCATTGATACCTGATTTCCCCACAATAATTAAGTTTGGGTCTTTCATTCATTCCTGATTTCCCCACAACAGTAAAACATGTATTTGGGTAAGCCCTTTATGCCCAACCAAATTGGCCAAGTTTCCCCTTCCCAACTTGCAGCTGCGACTTGTCATGGGTAACTGCCACAATGTGCTCGCGGGCCTTCTTCTGGTTCAGCTGGTTCTTGTAGCGAAGCCAGGCAGCTTCATCCAACCTTGCGAGGTGCAATTTCCAGATTTGTCTCTATGTGAATCCCCACCAGCCTAAGGGCCACATATAGACTTAGTAGTCTATTGACTTGATTTAAACGTATTGTTCAAAACATACGTGTCTAAAACATGTCAAAAAAAATATATTATATATATATGTGGAACCAGTAATTTCTGATGAGCAACGACAATTTGCTGCGAGTCTCTTGGTACAGGGCAGCTTGGGTAGCCTCTTCCGCCGCTTCCAAGTCCACGTCTGTGATGTCCGTAGGATCCGTCAGCTTGGTGTCCACAAGCTCATTCCACACTGTCAGATGCTTGACCGTCCAATTCGGAAGACAGACTTCCACAGCCGTGATCACCTCCGCGAAGTAGTCCCTGAGCAACGGTGTTTAAAGGTATCGGTATGGTATCTCTTCCTATAACGGGTCAACACTTCGAACCTCAAACTTGTACGTTGATGGTGTATGGTATCCATAAAACACAGAGGATGAAAGAGGTGAATTGACTTGGGTTATGCACTTGGATCTGGAAACACTTTCACAACCCGAAAATTGTTGACTTGGATGAAAAATAGTGATGGATTGCCACTTGACAGCTGGCCCCTTTGCAGCGCCTTGCCATGAAGGCTTGGTAAACGGCGTCCAAGGACTTGCTCATTGCAGTTTCATCAGCAGCATGAAACTCCTTTGCCAGCTGGTAGATCTCATACATAGCACAGGTTTAGTCCACAGCCTTTTCCCATTCAGCCGGTGTCGCCCTCATCCTGTTGCGGCTGCTCATCTTCACACGGCGCACCTTGTTCAGGTACGTGTGCACATGGTTCTTCAAGAACCACACCTGTGACTCGGGCTTCACAGTGAGCAAGGCTTTCACGTTCTGGCCCGCCTTGGAAGGATAGGCTCCATTGAGCCATCTGGAATTGCGCAAGAGATCGCTGCTGAAGGCAGAAAACTGGTACTTGTGATGGTTCAGGTGGCATGTAATCACCGCCCTGCTCTCCGGGGTGCTGCCAACCAGCAAGTTGAGGACTGCCTTGAACTTGTCCTCATCCAGCTGCCACTTGCTCAAAAATCCGGCCCGGCTATGCAGCTCTTCCACCACAGAGCGCAAGCGGGCCTCTGTGTTCCACTCCTTCGGGTGGAGCCCGCTCTCCGCTTTGAACGTCATGATGTGGGACAGTTGGAGAGCAAGGCTCAAGACAGATGGGCTTTGCCGCTCCGATCCACGGTAGCTCAAGGTCAAGTTCTCAAAGCTCTGCGAAGCAGCATTTTGATCAACCATCAAATTCATCGGCAGCAGCCAAGCACGATCGAGGAGCGGCGCAAAGGGGAGAATCTTGTCCCACTCATTCTCGAGATCCATCTCGGCACAGGTCATCAGCACGAACGCAACGACACTGGCTTTCGTGTAGCCTTTCACTAGGTCCAGGCTATTGTTGGCCAGCTTCAACTTGGAACCTGGATGATGTTGCTAGTGATCTCCCCCAAAATTAGGGTGCATTAACAAGTGCGGCAGGTATATTCGGATCTAAACAAATAAGGCCCTTACTGCTCTCTTCGAATGTGACCTCACATATCATTGGCAGATATGAGATAGGAGGAAACATTTTTATCACACAGTTAGAACTTCTCCATGACCCGCTAAACACTTAAGGTATTGAGTGCCTGGCATTGACTGAAAGTGGCTCCCTGCCAAGATCAACTCCGGCCATGATCATCGATTCCCAAGTGCCGACCCAGTCCTTCACACATGGCATTCCATCAGGCGGAACACTAAACCTTGTCAGCAAGCTGGGGGCCCTGGAAAAAGCCGCTGGTATGATCATGGTGCCGTTTTTTTTGGGGGGAAACAACATATGAAGGTTGCTGTTTCTATCGCATCTATAGCAGAGGAGCTTCAGAGCTGTGATGGGAAGTTTCATCGTGTCCTTCTCCATGGATCTGTCTAAGACCTAAGGCTAGAAGAAAACCCCATTCAATGACCAAAATCAATGTTTTAGGTTGGGTGAACTCTGAAAAACGATTTCCAATCCTAATGTTTCAAGAAGTCTGGATGAGGACCCAACGAACTGATTGGAAGCCTTGAAGAGAACAGAGCTCCTGCGTTTCTCCTCATACTCCCGATACCAGTTCTCTAGGCTCATGAGATTCACTTCCACGACGGCCGGATTCCCAGAGAGCTCATGCGGGACGATGTCAGCGGGATGCGACGTGTCACTGTAGTTTGAGGAGTCGTCAAAGCTCAGCAAGTATTCGTGCATTTCCTTATTCAAGGATGTGAGCCCCACAAAAACCGCAATAACTGGGTTGTATTAAATTACCCGGTCGTGGGTCACAACCTGCGTTTTGGTAAAGCGGAAGCTGGGAATTCATATCATGATCTTTGTGTATATAGTGTATATCTCTCAGGTTATATTTGAAGATCAATATTATGTGCTAGTCTCTCCCCCTCTCTCTTTCTCTCTCTCTCTTTCTCTCCCTCTCTCTCTCCCTCTCCCTCTCTCCCCGTTTTAATCATATACATATATATATATATATGTGTGTGTGTCTATATGTGTATTTAATTATCTATATATCATCTGATTTTACATATATTCACAAGATCCTGGATGTTATGGACGCGTGTGATATGTTCCCATGATGAGAGGCCATTCAAGGACATCATTACCCCATCAAACAAGTAGCTGTTATACCCAAAGTCAAAACAATCCCCCATATCATTGAAGATGCAGTAACCCATGCTATCTACAGTAAATGAAAAACAGTCTTTGACTTGTGGATTCCTGGCATCAGAAAGATCAGAAAGTCTATGTAGCCAGCATAAGATATGCAACTGACCATTAAGGACATCAAGATTCCCGAGGAGATAAGATAACCAAAGGTCTCAACCACGTGCCATGAATGAATGAGAGGTTCCTTTAGGATGGAGACATCTCCACTCTGCTTCTTCACAAACTTCTCAAAAGATGTGCATGTTCTTTTCCCTGTCCCTTGAGTCTTCGAAGATTCTGACTTGACGGGGGATGGTGTCTCCTCCTTCAAGCCCTCTGCCTTGGCTGCCAAGTTCCATGCCTTCTTCAGCAAGGAGCTCTCCATTGAGGCCGATTTGACTGCTGGCTCGAACAGCTCAAAACGCTAGGAAAGATTCGCTTTTAGATACTTTGTGCATTGATTTTTGTGTTGAACCCCAAGTTAAAAGTCAATGCACCAAACCCGGTTTGGTGCATTGAAAACCTATGGTTTTGAGGGTAGGACATTGATTTCATAATGAAGGTATCTCTTACGAGATCAATGTGTATGCTCCAAAACATAGGGTTTTCAATGCACCAAACCCGGTTTGGTGCATTGACTTTGTTGTTGGCCCTGTAAGATAAAATCAATGCACAAAGTATCTCTTTTACGATTTTTAGCTGTCAAAAGCAATCTTTCTTACATTAGAACCTGGACCTGGCATATCCTAAAAATCAATGCACCTGGCGACAGAAAATTCCAAGGTCACTGAAAGTCAATGCACCAGATCCGATTTGGTGCATCGATTTTGGTGTGCTATCAACCCCAGGTGCATCGATTTTTGGTTTTCAAAATCCTTAGGTGCATCGATTTCGGTGTTCCACAGGTCCCAGGTGCATCGATTTTTTGTTTCAAAATCACCAGGTGCATCGATTTTTCGTTGTCTAAACCTTCAGGTGCATCGATCTTAGTGGTATTGTTCAAAGTTATTTCAGAGTAAGTATGAAGTTGTAAATTTGTGATATCAAGTCAAGTTTGGTTCAAAATTTCAAATCTCGTTTTCCCTGCCTCCCAGGTGAAAGCCTCTAGATTTTTTGAGAGCTGCTTGCTTCCTCCCTCCCTCCGTCCCTTCCGTCCTTCCTTCCTTCCCTCCTGCCTTCCTTCCTCCCTTGGTGCCTTCCTTCCTTTCTGGCTGCCTTCCTTCCTTCCTCCCTCCTCCTTTCTCCTCCTTCCTCCTCCTTCCTCCCGCAGCACTGCTGGATTAATTCCAGTGGCACTGCCAGACCTGAACTGCGAGGTCCAGATTTCAGTGGGGACCCCTCACTGAGATCTGGCGCTCGGTTGAAGTCCAGCAGCGCCCACGCCAGGGAAACTGTCAGAATAGTGCCAGACGACTGCTAGACAGAAGGCTAGATAGAATGTCAAAATACGTGCCAGATGGAATGCCAGAACGAATGCCTGAATAGATTTTTGAATTCCAGAATGGATGCTAGAAAGAGTGTCAGAATGGCAGAAAGAGTGTCAGAATTTTTAAAGACTGCCAGAATGCCAGAGTACACCAGAAAGAATGTCAGAATATTTGGAAGTCAGGAACTATGTCAGTGTGCAATGTGCGGGGCATGCGAAGGAAAGTAAATTGCACCCTGCTGTGTCCCAGGACACTGGCTCGCCTGGCAATGGCTGGGTCCTTGCTGCAAGCACCTCGGCCAGGTACGGGTTAGCAAGATGGATTTATGAAGAAAGGTGGGGAAAATATATGTGGGATGAAATCGCTTCAACCATGGGAAAAATTTGGGATGTAGAAAATATACCAACCATGATGAGGAATTCAGTGTTTGGAGGATTGATTTCTTGGCTCAGGAAGCAAGAGCTTTGGATTGGAAGGGTTGCATGCCGTATGCGTTTCCTGTCTTGGGGGGAAACCCAACAGAGTCGGAAGCCAATCTGTTTTCCCCCACTGCTAGTAGTAACGACATGCGGCTGCACTAATTACCATCGAGTGATCTAATTACAATCGAGTGATCTAGTTCACCCTGTCATTCTGCCTTGAAACTGAAGTTGCCAAGTCAGCAACAGCACGAGCCACTTTCCAAATGGCTTCTGAAACCGTGGGAAAGGATTCTTCCTCTACATGACTCCAAGTGGAGCCGGAGCTAGCATCAAAAACCATAGAACATTGGTCAGAGCTAGTTTCACTACCCTGTCCCTGATTACCTTCACACTCACCAATCAGACACTGGTTTGCCCAATGCTGCCGCAGCGAAAGACATAGCTCACCTTTGTGCCCAGCTGCAGGAAGTTGGTGACAGCGGCACAGATCCTGCAACTGAGCTTTCCTGAGGCTGGACAAACCCTGGGTTGGGTCACACGGGTGCTTCTCTCCACGGATGAACTTGCGGTAAAGGTGCTTGAGTTCAGGAACTGTGAGCACTGTCAAATCTGTTTGGACATGCGGGGTGAGCTTCACAATCAAGTCATCCTTTCTTTTGGGGATCTGTGGCGCATTGGATTTCTCCCATTCATAGGGCGGAGAGCCGCCAGGTGGCCAACAAATGTTGCACCGGTTTACATCCATGACATAAAAAAACACTTGAGAGACTATTGGGGGACGCTAAACTTTAACCTCAAATCATTTGAGCACAAAGTGACATGAGCCACAGACACCGATGTCTTGCAAGCAAGCGCCCAAACTATGTGTAAGATTTTTCCGGCAATCTTAAAATTGCATACAACCACCCTGCGGGAATCAAAGCCCAAGGCACTGAGACACAACGAGCTGAAACATCTATTCCTGTACCTTTGTGAAAACTTTTCTCTCACACATTCCGCTGTCCCCCAAACGCTGCCCTTAGGGCAACAGATGGGGCGAGGGCTGCCAACACTGTGGGGTGAAGATCCAGATTTCCAGCAATCAAATCTTGGGGTGCGTCCCCAACATGAGAATGCCACGGTAAGGGGGGAAGCTGGGCATTCAAGTAAAACTGGTTATTTCCCAAGCTAGTCAAGTACTGGACACATTCAGAATATGTGTCATCCCTGGCGTAAATCGACTTGACGGCAGCTGCCAATGCCATGCACTGCTCGCGAAAGTTTCGAGAATGGTTGTTCCCATGCCTCAGATTACAGGCCATTGATTGCGCAAGAAGTAGTTCGTTAATTGACATACTGAAATCCCACACTATTACCCTTATGCAACTTATGCAGTGTAAAAGTCAAAAAACTGTACATTATCAATCAAGAGCGGTGACTTGTCCGAAGGCACTAGACCCACACGCTGCGACCGGCCCCTTGTTAAGACCAGCAGTGGTTTTTGGGATAACTGCTCGCTTCCAATGAATTGCTTCACCAACATGATGACGTCACACCGATGGGCAGGGGCCGTGATGCTTCCTTGCTCTATGCTTGTTTGCAGGTTCTCTGGCATATCTAGCAGGGGCAGCATTATTTAAAAACAAAGAATTTGGACGGATTGTTAAAAAGTATTTTTAAAACAGCGGTACGACAAGAAATATCAAAAGTATGTTGAACTTGCCTTTCCGGAGCATGCTGATAAAGCAATGGTTTGCGCTGCTATCTTCCAATAGCCCTCCACGCAATCCAACCTGTTGGGTGGGGTTGAAAAAATCCTTCCACGCTCTGACTGCATCTAACTTGGAGACTTTCACCATGGTCTCTAGCCCAATAAATGCACGCATGCCAGGACGCGCAAGTTCTTCTTCCAGAATATCAATAACCGTTTGAGCTGAGAGAAGCCGGTCACTTGCTGCAATTCTTCGCGCCAGGATTCCCCAGCATTGATCCAAGCGATCATGCGTGTGAGACTTGCGCAAATTCAAGAGGCCTACCATTTTCATTTTGTACTTTGCAACTAAATTGTTTAAGTAGCCTAAAAGGTACTGATTTTTTGCTTCGCGCACGGTGTTGTCGGACATGATGAGCAGCGAAGTAGGCATCGACTTGTTTGTACGGGTAGCTGTCTGGTAACAGTCTTCTAGGGTGAGCGCAACCATGTCCACAATCGCGGAGGCGTCATGTCTTGTAATTTCATCAAGGACAAATAATCGGAATTGCCATCCTTCATATGCTTTTGAAAGGTCGCCAGGTTCTAGAACAAATACAATTGACTGCCTACGCATTCAACAAATTGAATTGTAGTTTGTGCTCCACGCATCCAAAGAAAACTGACCTATACACACCTGCTGAGTTTCCCATTGCCCAGGCCCCATGGATCTTCAAACAGGGCTTGATGTGTTTGCTCCTGGTTTCGAGGCCGGTCCGCTGGGATGTGAAGCAACCAAACATGGTTCAAGTATATAAAAATTACTCTACTTCGTGTGATCCCCACCATGACATGTCAGGACGTATATTTGGACATATATTTAGTATATTCTGACATCCTATCTGACATATATTCTGGCATATATTCTGGCATTCTATCTGGCATATATCCTGACATTCCACCTGGCATTCTATCTGGCAGTCTATCTGGCATTCTATCTGACATATTTTCTGACATTTCATCTGACATATATTCTGGCATTCTACCTGTCATTTATTCTGACATATATTCTGGCATTCTATCTGACATATATTCTGGCATATATTCTGGCATTCTATCTGGCATTATATCTGACATATATTTTGGCATTCTATCTGACATATATTCTGGCATATATGTTGGCATTCTATCTGGCATTATATCTGACATATATTCTGACATTCTATCTGACATTCTATCTGGCAGTCTATCTGGCATTCTATCTGGCATTCTTTCTGGCATTCTTTCTGGCATTCTATCTGGCATTCTATCTGGCATCCTATCTGACATTCTATCTGGCATTCTATCTGGCATTCTTTCTGGCATTCTTTCTGGCATTCTATCTGGCATTCTATCTGGCATCCTATCTGACATTCTATCTGGCATTCTATCTGGCAGTCTATCTGACATTCCTACATGAGGTCCGGCAGGGAACACTTGGCGCGGATACTCGCGGTTGAGGTCCGGCAGGGAACACTGGGCGCGGATGGTCGTGGTTGAGGTCCGGCAGGGAACACTGGGCGCGGATGGTCGCGGTTGAGGTCCGGCAGGGAACACTGGGCGCGGATGGTCGTGGTTGAGGTCCGGCAGGGAACACTGGGCGCGGATGGTCGTGGTTGAGGTCCGGCAGGGAACACTGGGCATGGATGGTCGTGGTTGAGGTCCGGCAGCGAACACTGTGGATCGCGGGTCGCAGTTGAGCAAGGACGACGAGGACGACGAGGAGGACGAGGAGGAGGAGGAGAGGAGGAGGAGGAGCAGGAGGAGCAGGAGGAGGAGCAGGAGGAGGAGGAGGCAACTGACATAAAATCTAACAACCCTCACCTGGCAGGTGGGGAAAAACAGGACTTACAGTAGCAAAATGTTTGACCAATGGGGTTAAGTGTCAGCTCTGCTGACGCCCTGAGTCCTTTGTCTCGCGGTACAGAAAATTTTGCTTGGTCAATCCCGTCTAGCAATATAACAAGGACCCCCGAAAGGGGATCCTTGCTTAGGTCTTGAAGGGCCCAGCACGCACTTCGATCCACGTATTGGTCATGCAAATGTTCACGATAGACTTTCACAGCAGTCAGTTTAGCTTCCAATGACAAGCTGTGATCGCTCATATTTGCAGTGAGTTGCTGGCAAATAGTGCATTGGGAAAACCTAAGTCTGATGCTACACGCAACACTGAAAAGATAGTTTTTTTCACCTGGTATAATATGTGGGTATGATTTTTCATGAAAACCTGTTGCCCAAAAGCAGGCCCTGGCCAAGATGCATGGACCGCGAGCGGAACTTCAGCACATCAGACCAGCGCTGCTGATACACATGGCGAAAGGTGCTGTACCTCAGCATGTGTGGGCAGCGGGCCTGCGACAGGATGGATGGGGACCACGAAATCATTTTGACAATTCAGTGCTTTGATTTTCAATACAAATAAGCTTTCTACGAGACCAACTTGCTTCCAATGAGTTGGCGTGTTGCAGCATAGTGGTGGTAAAGCTCTGTGGTGTTTCCAGGTGGTAGATACTTTGTGATTTTGCCTTTGTCAGCCCCGTGCAAAAATTGCATGGCTGAGCTAGATCCTGGCTTGGTCAACCATGAAGCCAGTTCAGTGTCAGAAACATCGCTGGCAACATCAATATCCATGTCAGGGTCATCTGCCCTTGCAGCCCGCCCCCTCCGAACGAACCTAGCATAGGGTCAACATACAATAGTGCATGGCAAACCCTGTCTTGACACCCTTTATTCTAGAAAAAAGTAAAAACAATTTCGCCCGATGGGCACCTGTCCGGGAGAGTCTCGGCTACCTGATCATACATGGTTGTCAGAAATGAATCTACCGAGTATGTCTCCTGTCTGGATCCAGTTTTGACCTTGCCGTGGCGCAAGTCCGGCGTTGAAGCTGTGGTTTTTCGCAGGCGTGCAGTCCCTACACCAAGCAGGGTGGCCAGGCATTTCGGGCCGATGTTTTTGCCCAAAAACTTGTAAGCAATAGCATTGCCACTTCCATCCATGGACTGGTACATCTTAGCAGAGGCTCGCATCCCAACATGATCTATCATAGCGCTGATTATGAATATATTCTAGGGGGAACCTCGGCAGCTTTGAGAAAACCAAGAAATAAGATGTGAGGTGACGAAGGACCCTTTTCTCCGGAAAACCAAGACACCAATGAGTCCTGGTCAGACTTCTTGAGCTTCCAGAATTCTTGCAGAAATCCTGAGACATCCTTCTGCGTGTACTGGTTGAAGCAATCAGTCTTAGCACCTGGGCTGTGGCAAGTGTCATTGCACTAAGCGGGACAGGGCGTGTTATTTCCACGGGGTCAAGATGGAAAACAACTTCACGTTTGAAGACAGGGTGCAAAGACAGCCATCTCTAGTCAGAACATTCACAAGCCGTTCTTCTGAAAGACCATTTTCTGAGTAACTCTTGGCCTTCGACCTTGTATAGAGAGCCTGCGATGATCTTGCTGAATTGTCGTAGGCCCGTTTCTGTCTCACAGGTTTCCCAGCTTCTGCAACTTCTTTGGAGAACCGAGCTCTCGCAGCTAAGTGCACCGAATGCCAACCAAAATTGAACACGCTCGGCTCTTTTGTGGCAGATTCAGAAGAATCGGAATCACTTGATGATTGTTCTTCTGGCTCTGTGTGAAACACATGATCATGAAACGCATTCCTCTTCGCCCTGGGGTTTCCAACACCAGATTGACTAGAAGACCTTTCAGGTGGTTCTGGTTGGAATGGGCGTCTTTGCGTCAACATGGAACTGGCTTCAGCAGCTATACGCTTTGAACCTGTCAGGGCCCCTTACAACTCCATCACATTCATGATGTTTCAGAAACAATTTTTCAAACCACTTTCATTCTTACGAGTTTCATTCTTACGAGGGTTTAGAACCATTTTGAACCCACACCTGCCCCCCTGTCAGATTCAGACTCGGCAGGTTCATCTTGAAACAAGCGCTTCCCAGCGGTCCTCTTGGAGGCACGGCCAAGGGCTCTCTCGGGCTCGGGCCCTTCATCAGCAAAGGGCAGCATAGGATAGCATGGCTTACACCGGGATTTGCATCTAGGTAGTGGATGCCTTGTCATATTGGTTGCTGCTCATTGGTATCTATGCGATGTACCTATTTAAAGTGTATCTCTATCTATCTATCTAACTATCTATCTATCTATCTTTCTATCTATCTATCTATCTATCTATCTATTTATCTATCTATCTATCTACCTAACTATCTATCTATCTGTCTGTCTATCTATCTATCTATCTATCTATCTATCTATCTATCTAGCTAGTGTGTGTCTAGACATTATCTACAAAATAATTTCCTTGTGATCCCTTAGTATTGAAATATATATATATATATATAGCAGGTCGCATTCAGCTCGCTGATGTGCACCGTCATCTTAGAGCCTCTCACAGCACTTGGAGAGAACAAGTTTTTCTGACACGGTGCCCCAGGAATAGCACGCCATTCACTCGGACTCAGGTCCTTTGTAATTTTGCAGGGCTGACCAAACGCCTGGCTGGCTGAGGTTGGCACCCTCGCCGTCGCACAGAAGGGCGGAAGGCTTGCAGCAGACCTGCGCAAGCATGATGACTACTTAGCCAAAAGCACGATTTGTGTAGCAGCACTTGAAGCAATATGAAAGTGTTGTTCTTTATTTGGTTCTTGAGATTTGCTACCATAATCAATTCTATTTTTGATGGTGCTTGGCATTTGCTACCGAAATACTTGGGCAGCAGGGAACTGTTTTCTGTAAGCCGCTGGAAGACGCAAGTTCCACGTTGAAGGGGTGCCGCAAGCTACTGACTAAATCCATGAAACACTTCGCATCTGGTCTAGTCCAGCGTTTCCACCTTGGAAACAAACAGGATATTGAGCAACAAGGAAACACCTACAGATGGAAGGTGCATCCCATTTCCGGATACACGGGTCAAAAACGCTTCAGAAAACTTTGAAGACTCAGCCAATGCCACTTTGTCCTAAGCTGCGGCAAATGGGATGGTTCCAAACTGAACAGGTTGGAGTCGGAACCGCATGTTTTTGGTCCGATATCTGCAAACCAGTTTCCATGCTTGCGCTTGCACATGCTGGTCCCCACACCGGATAACCCAGTGAGAACAGCTTCTCACGCCCAGTGAAGCACCGCTTCAATTCTTCAGACCTGAGAACGATTGATTAGAGCTCAAAAACATTGGTTCATGTGGAATTAGATGTTAAGAGTCCAACAACTTGAGCTTTTGAAATGAGGCCATGGGACCACAAGTACCGTGAACTGGTAGCAAGAGTGGGTAGCTCACCACCTTTCAAGTCAACCCGACCACGCTTGTCCTTGACACTCTGGCCCAGATCGAAAATAACCTTGCCGGGGTAGCTGGCCCTGTAGCGCACCAGGCTCTCCTTCATCGACCTGGGGTGTGCACTCCAGGCCAAGGGGTTTCATAATATTTTAAGCCATGTCAGCACAATTCTAAGTTGGGAACGGAGGGAGGGATGTTTCAGGATTCTCGCCAAACAAATGCTGTATCTCTTCTGGGGAGCTGATCGCGAAACATGTTGGGGTCAAATTCAATGGCTGATCTTTCTGTGCCAAGATGGCGTCCACGCACTGTTGAAAAGTCATCCGTTCCTTGGATTCTCTAAATCATGGCCAAATCCAAAGTTTGTACAGCTACAGACGATTATGAATGATGATAACGGTAAGGATGATGATGATGATGATGATGATGGTGATGGTAAGGATTTTGATGATGATGATGATGATGACGATGATGACGATGATGACGATGAAGGTAAGGATGATGATGATGATGGTGGTGATGATGATGATGATGGTGATGATGATGATGATGCTGATGATGGTGATGTTGATGATGGTGATGGTTTGGTGGTGATATTGATGGTGATGGCGATGTTGATGTTAATGATGATGGTGGTGATGATGTGAAAATGATGATAATCATGGCAATGGTGATAATGGTGAGCGTGATGATGATGATGATGAAGAAGAAGAAGAGGAAAAAGAAGAAGAAGAAGAAGAAGAAGAAGAAAATTATGAAGATGAGGGCGAGGATGGAAATGAGGATGAGGTTGTTGTGGATGATCTTCATGATGTTGGTAATGGCGCTGGTGATGATGGCAAGGAGGAGGATGAGGATAAACATGAGGATAAGCAGTGATTTCTGATGATGGTGATGATGGTGGTGGTGGTGGTAGTGGTGGTGGTGGTGGTATTGATGATGGTGGTGATGATCATGATGGCGATGATGCGAATGATGAAGATTTTGACCTAAGCCCCGGCAACAGGACCATGGAGGCCAGGGTCTGTCCAACTTGCAAACTTGGCATCCCAAGTGTTCCGATACTCTCGAGGACGTGCAGACGGGTAGCCAAAGAGTCGCGGTTGCAACCTGCAGTTGGCTGCTCCAAAGGGCAGGCGAGGGCTGGTGGTGGGTGACTATGACATAGCCACAAAGACCGCCAATGGACATATTTTATGTATGATTGTGCACATGCATATGTATATCTAGATTTACATCTATCGAAATTTGTGAGTACATATACATATATACACATATATATATATATATATCCACTCCACAGGTGTAGAAACATGTGTTTTAAAATCTATATGTATAGTGAAAATTAAGACAGTCAGAAACACATACACGGGCAATATTACACATGCATGTCAAGAAGCTCAGCCATCATCATTTTGTGAGGGCAACTGGTGTGAAGCATTTCGTCATCATAACCTTTTACGTTCTCATGGACCGAGGAGTGTGACTTGTTCATTGCCGCAGTTGCTACCGTATGGCACTGCGCTTTGGGTATGTTGGAGAAGGACTCACGGTTTCCCAGCCTTAGATGAAACAACATATTCGGTGAACATCTTTGAACTAGTAAAGAATAGTTTGAAGCTCAAGCCGAACAACTAGTTTGCCTGCTTTGGGCAATGGCACAGCAAAAAAAACTAAATTGCTTTCTGTGAACCGGGAAAACAAAATACATGGAGCTCCCAAGACCAAACGTGTCCCCTTGCAAAGCGGAATATTGCATTCCCGTCCATGGGTCATGCAGAATGCTTTCTCTTTGAACTTGATCTCCGACGGTTTCAACAGTCTATCTTCGGGGACCTTGTTCTGGATCAACTCCATGACATCATTGAAAATGCAAGTGTCTGGGTAGAGCTTGGCCATCCACTCTTGGCACAAGCGATCATGCTCTACCTACAGGATATCCCAGTTCGAAAAGAATTCAAAGCATGAACAGGAAACATGTCCTAACAATGACCAACACATATCAACAGAAACCCAAGACTAGCTAGCCATGTTGCCGCACAAGTGAACTTGACACCTGTGGTCACCCCCCAAAGCTCGATGGCTGCATTGTGGATGCAGTCCCATGCCTTTCTAGCACACTCGATACCTGAGAACATTGACATGATCTCCTGCTTTTGCAACAGCCGCTCCGAGCAAAACTCATGCCCAAAGAGATCTCCACATCGCCGCAGAACCACTTTGGCCCAGGCCCTCAAGATGGGAAGAGAAACAAACACCTTTAACTCAAAAAGTAGGGGATATGACTCAAGCTGCAAGAAAAGCAGGACAACCGTATTTAGAGTGTATTGTATCGGCATTCACCTGCTGGGATGGGTTGTAGATTGGTCTCAGGATTGAAAAGACCAACTGCACTTTGTGATTCCAGCCCTTTTTTTGCTGCCAGGAATCCCTAGTTCTGCTGGGACACGTGGAGAAGGGTATGGTGTGTCCAACTTCCTCACACGCCGGCGGCCCAAGGACAAGCACAAGTTTCAAACATATGCGTTAATTGTTAAACAGGTACCTCTCTGTGGACGCCTCTGTGTCTGTAATCCCTGAACCAATCAAGCTCAGGGTCCGGGGTGGTTCCGTAGATGGCTCAACAACTGAAGCAGCAGCAGGGCGCTTCATCTTGGCACTAGGTCTTTTCCTGAGGTGGGCCATTGTCACAAGGCTGAGTTTGCAATGTAAAAAAGCTCCCTGAGTTAAAGGCCCACGGGGGTTTACAAAGCTGAGTGTCCGAATCGTTGGCTTCACTGACTTGTCCTTCTGCTTGCTCTCCTTCTTCTGCTTGCTCGCCAAAAGAGCCGCCAAAGATTTCCCCATGGCATGGATCTGTCTACCAGTTGGTATTCCCAAAAAATGTTTTTTTGGTTGCCAAGACATGCTCTATAAATATCTATATATACTACATAGTATAGATAACATGTATAGATATGTATAGTCTTGTGTAGCCAAAACAAGACACTGTCTTCTGTGCCAAGACATGCCAAACTTTTTTTTTGTGCCAAGACATGCCACTTTCATTTGTGCCCAAAAAAGCAAGATTGTCAGCGCACCATATCATCAACTTTGTCCAATACCACATACCAACAAGCACCCCTGGCGGCCTGCGCCAGGCAGCGCGAGTGCCGCCAGCAGCGCAAGCACCACCAGCAGCGCCGGTGGCACAAACTGTGCCAGTGGCACTAGCTGATGCTGATGCTGATGGAGGGTTGGGTTTTGGATTTAGTTACCTTGAATTTGGCCTCACTTACCTCGAATATAACTTAGTATATGTGTATATATATATATATATTATATATATATATATATGTATTTACAAATTTACACATGATTCATCTGTGATGAACCAACCTCAAAAACTCCGAGGGCTTGTTGTTGGGATGGGAGATTTCACCAACAAGTTGTGTTTCCGATGATTCCAAGATATTCCAACCAGTACAATCCCCCTTAAAATCCACAAACAAACCCGAAAAATCATGGTTTTTCCTAGGGAAACCATGGTTTTTCCATGGTTTTTCGTTGTTTTTTCCACATCTTTTGGTACGTTTCTTCCAGGAATTCTCCAGCGAAGTCCAGGTGCCAACAGTGATTGAGGGCCGCTTCTGGTGCCAAAGCTCTGGTGAAGGCAATAGCTTTCAAGAAGGTGCGGCGGCGAAAGATGGTGATGGGAAAAACAGATCTGGCTAAGTAGCCGGTTGGCCAAAAATTGTTCTGGCGATGGGTTATAGATGAATTAACTTTTTTAACCTCATAAGCTTCATAATCTACTATAAAGAGAATTGATTCATGATGGCTAAGTTGACGCACATAACTTGATAAACTCTTGGGTTGATGCTCGGGGGATCTGACCACGGCTGACTATTCATAACTAGGGACCTCACCGTTGGGTTGGTGTTCTGAAGACCATGCTGAGTGAGGGATATTCGGGAAACCGGTGGTCGTTGGGTGACTTTTTTTTCAAACTGAATATTTGGTTTTTTTGATGGGGATATAACGGCTCAACATTCTCAACATTTTTTTGTTTGCGCTTAGTATCTAAGATTTCTCATAGTTTAAAAAAAAATGTTTGAATTTCCGTTCCGAATGACGAGTATGTTTTGGGGATGGGTCGTAAGCACCAGTCAGATAACTTATGTATAAGGACGACGATCCCAAATGACATGTAATTTCACGATGAAACCAGGGTTGACACTGCTAACTAGGTGTTGTGAAAAATATTGTAAAGTTAAACATTTGTTTGTGGACATGAATTTTGGTTATTTATTGGTTGTTTATTGGTTATTCATTGGTTACCCTCCGGTAAACTAACATAACTATGGAAAATCACCATTTTTAATGGGAAAATCCACTATAAATGGCCATTTTCAATAGCTATGTTAGTTTACCAGAGGGTATTCATTGGTTTATTCTTCGATTCTCAACATCAACAATCACCATGTCCGGCCTTTGGGACCCCTTCGATTGATCATCTCACGGACTCCCGATCCAATCGGAGATCCTGATTGGAACATAACGTATCTAAAGTGTTCCAAAAAATCATGTGGTAAACATTCACAGTTTGTGAACTGGAAAATGGCCATAGAAAGTTCAGTTCGTTGATTTACCCATTAATTAAGCATGGTGATTTTCCATCGTTTTTTGGTGACTGTTTACCAGAGGGTCTCATTTGGGGTTTGGTTCAATCCGAGCCGTTTCTGGCTGCTTGGCGAGGCGCCGCCGGCTGCTTCTCTTTGTATCGCCTGGCCGAAAAATGCCGCGACAGCTTGCTGTGGCACTGTTGGGACCTGTTTTTTTTCTCGATTTTCAAAAGGAACGGATGAAATCAAATTGTTGTTTTGGCCTTTAGTTTCAACATGTTTCAAATGATATCAAATTCATATTACCCTCTGGTAATCTGCTTTTACCCTGTGGGAATCTAAGATAGCTAATAGCGAAAATCACCCATTCGTAGATGGTGTTCCGATCAAAACCTCCAGGGATTTCCCAGCTAGCCATGTTTGATTACCGAAGGGTGCTGCGAATTGACATTCGCATATTTTTGAACTTGGAGTCGATCTGAGTGGTAATTAGTGCAATGAAGTGATTGGCAGTGATGGACAGTGGTTGGGATGGTAAAATCATAGTTTTTTTTTTATCACAGATCATGGAATTGTTTTGCACCCGAACATTTTGGCGGAGAAAACACAACTTGATGTTTTATTACAAGTTGATTGCCATGATTGATTGCCGTGATTTTGAAATCCACATTTTCAGATGAACCCATGAAGGTTAAAGTCTACGATCCAGAAGGGATATGTTGGCCTTTTTTGAGTGATAATCCAAGGGCCCAACACGGAGGTAAACATTTCAGTAACTGGGGGGTACCACTTTGTAGTACATGGCTGGCTGGTGTCATCATGTAATGAACTGCAACCCGCACTATACCCAGTCATTCTCTGGGATAGTGTATGATATGATCAAGACATAACAACAAATATATGATACCCTCTGGTAAACATTCACAGTTTGCGCTATTGAAAATGGCCATTTAGTTCAGTTCGTTGATTTACCCATTAATAGCATGGTGATTTTCCATAGTTTTTTGGGACTGTTTACCCTCCGGCAATGAAACATGGCTCGTCAAGGATGGATTTTCCAGCAAGCCACGTTTCATTGCAGGAGGGTACCCTCTGGTAAACAGTCACCAAAAAACGATGGAAAAATCACCATGCTATTAATGGGTAAATCAACGAACTGAACTTTCTATGGCAATTTTCCAGTTCGCAAACTGTGAATGTTTACCAGAGGGCAAGTGGGATGCGACCCACTACCCATGGGCAAGGCTCTCCTAAAAACTTCGCCAGGGCCACGGCAGGGAAGTCCCAGACGTTGAATGTAAAACTCCCGATTTGTAGAAGCCTGGTTGTTCAATGACGGCCCACAAGGAAACAAACTTTGATTTTGCTGCCCCAATGATGGTTTACTGATGTTTCATGGGTCATTTCTGACACATAACTTGAAGATGTGTTCAGTCGTGTTCATGTTATCTCCTAACTTGTGTGAGAAACAACTTAGATTGATCAAGTGAAAACGGCACCCAAGAAAGTCAGTACATTAAATGGGTACACACCACATCGATCTATCAATCCGATGTTTTCATTCGCTTCTGGTCGAATTGTGAATCCGACTCTCTTTAGCCATTTGCATGGCTTATCCGTCGAGAAGAACAAGTACCACTGCTCTGTTACCACAAATGTCACAACCACAGCACCACCAGAAACAACAAACAGTAACACCACTTAACACCACCAATTTTGGTGCCCGATCTTTGGTTCAAAACGATTTTAGCGGCAGAACATGCACTGCTTTTGATCAGATAATGAGCAAAATTAGTTCGTTCGTACTTACATGCACATGTCATTGTTGATTATCCCATTTTTGAGTCCAATATAGTCCAATCTATTCGGAATATATGACATATATTCATTATATTCATTATATGTTAAATATGGATTATATACATATATGTGTATCACTATATTATCCATTTCCCGAATTTTTGACCGCTGTAGCTGCGCAAAAAAGGCCATGGATGTACAAGTCCTCGCGCACTTTGGTGGTGGCCATAACCACCGAAGGCACCGGCGCTGTGATGTTTAAAAAACCGAGAGAACTATCCCAAAGCGGCCAGAAAATTATCTTAATTGGGTATGGATCAATACCTATTAATACCATTTTTAGTGGGATGAACATCCATTTACCAGCTATTTTGATGTTCACCAGGGGTACAAGGTTTTGACACACTGCCAATTCAGCTTAGTAAATTCTTCTTGATAATTAATATGGAGGTTTCCTAAGTCATAGGGGTACCCCCAAATCATCATCCATTTTAGATGGGATTTTCCGTGAAATAAACCATCCATTGTTGGGTACCTTCATTATAGGAAAACCCCATCCATACAGATCTTCACTTTGTGCCAAGTTTGATCCGGGCATCTTGCGAAACACAATATGCGGTTAGCCTTGCAGGGGCTCATTTGGATAATTATCCCCATACAGAGTCACTATACTCCCAGTTCTTGTAGGTTGGTTTATGTAATGTATATATAATTGTGTATATATATATATGTGGATAGGACCTTTTGGGTTTATTTCGTTCCTACGTTCATATGTCCACACGCGCTCTCAACTATGATCTTGGGCAAGGTTCCCTCGGCTATGGTCTTACTTTTTGGCCTTCCTTTACATGTGTTTGTCGTTTGCTGCTGGGGTGGAAAGATTGTCCCATTAAGAGCATGAAGCAAGAGCTCTTTGACATTGATTTCACTTCTTCGGTTGTCTTCACTATCTCCTCTTGTTGTAATTTGGGCGAACGGGTTTGTAGTTGTCTGTTGCTGCTGGGGTGGAAGGGTTGTCGTCTTGTGTGCTTGTTTGCTGTTGCCCGGGTGCAAGGTCTGGCTCAGGCTCTTTTCAGAAGGTTGGGCTCCAGTGCCCCCCCTCCCTTCACTTCTCTCACTTCTCCTTCTTGGCGTATCTTTATCTATTTGTTCATGGGGCGGAAGCGCGTGCTCTTCTGCCAATCTAGGCGCCAAGTATCTTCAGAAAATCATGTTTTCCCCTTTGTACGCTGTGTTTTCCATCTCTTGTCATTATCATGTCATTATTTCCTATGTAGCCTTCCTCTTCCTCTATTCTTACAGGGATGAAAGGGTTGTCTCTTGACCACTGGTGTTGCATCTATTTATCTAATTGTTGTTGATGGGAAACAGTGGGCTCTGGAGGGGAGGTTGGGTAAGGTCCTCTCAGCTATGGCCCTCCCTTTAAGATCCTTTAAGCACGTTTTGCATTTTAGTTTTCCTGTACTTGTGTTTGTCTGTAGTCGCTGGGTTGGAAGGGTTGTCCAATAGGGAGCATGAAGCAAGAGCTCATTGACATTGTTTTCACTTCATTGGTTGTCTTTCTCTTTTTGTCTCTCTCTCTCTCTCCTATTGATTTCATTTGGGTGAAAGGGTTGGCTCTTGAGGGGAGGTCTGGCAAAGCTCTCTCAACTTAAACTATGACATCACTTTGAGCAGGGGAGGTTGGGCAAGGTTCCCTCAGTTATGGTCTTACTTCTGGCCTTCCTTTACATGTGTTTGTCGTTTGCTGCTGGGGTGGAAAGGTTGTCCCATTCAGAGCATGAAGCAAGAGCTCTTTGACATTGATTTCACTTCTTTGGATGCCTTTCATTATCTCCTCTTGTTGTAGCTTGGGCGAACGGGTTTGTAGTTGTCTGTTGCTGCTGGGGTGGAAGGGTTGTCGTCTTGTGTACTTGTTTGCTGTTGCCCGGGTGCAAGGTCTGGCTCAGGCTCTTTTCAGAAGGTTGGGCTCCAGTGCCCCCCCTCCCTTCACTTCTCTCACTTCTCCTTCTTGGCGTATCTTTATCTATTTGTTCATGGGGCGGTAGCGCGTGCTCTTCTGCCAATCTAGGCGCCAAGTATCTTCAGAAAATCATGTTTTCCCCTTTGTACGCTGTGTTTTCCATCTCATGTCATTATTTTCTATGTAACCTTCCTCTTCCTCTATTCTTACAGGGATGAAATGGTTGTCTCTTGACCACTGGTGTTGTATCTGTTTATCTAATTGTTGTTGATGGGAAACAGTGGGCTCTTAAGGGGAGGTTGGGTAAGGTTCTCTCAGCTATGGCCCTCCCTTTAAGATCCTTTAAGCACGTTTTGCATTTTAGTTTTCCTGTACTTGTGTTTGTCTGTAGTCGCTGGGTTGGAAGGGTTGTCCAATAGGGAGCATGAAGCAAGAGCTCATTGACATTGTTTTCACTTCATTGGTTGTCTTTCTCTTTTTGTCTCTCTCTCTCTCTCTCTCTCCCCTATTGATTTCATTTGGGTGAACGGGTTGGCTCTTGAGGGGAGGTTCGGCAAAGGTTCTCTCGGCTATGGTCTTACTTTTGGCCTTCCTCTACATGTGTTTGTCTGCTTTTGCTGGGTTGGAAGGGTTGCTCCATTAAGAGCATGAAGCAAGAGCTCTTTGACATTGTTTTCACTTCTTCGGTTGTCTTGACTATCTCCTCTTGTTGTAATTTGTGCGAACGGGTTTGTAGTTGTCTGTTGTTGATGGGGTGGAATGGTTGTCGTCTTGTGTGCTTGTTTGCTGTTGCCGGTGGGAGGGCTGTCCCTTCAGGAGGGGCGAGGCAAAAGCTTAACCGTTTCTGGCTCTCTGTCATCAGATCTTCTTATCATGCACGGGTGGGAGGGCTGGCTCAGGCTCTTTTCAGAAGGTTGGGCTTTAGTGCCCCCCCGCTTCCTTCACTTCTCTCACTTCTCCTGCTTGGCATCTGTTTATCTATTTGTTGATGGGGTGGAAGCGTGTGCTCTTCAGCCAATCTAGGGCCAAGATGGGCCAAGTATCTTCAGAAAATCATGCTTTTCCCCTTTGCACGTTGTGTCCTCCATCTTGTTTCAGTGTTTTCTATGTAGCCTTCCTCTTCCTCTATTCTTACAGGGATGACAGGGTTGTCTCTTGACCAGTGGTGTTGTATCTGTCTATCTACTTGGAAAGGTTGTTCCAAAGGGAGCATGAAGCAAGAGCTCATTGACATTGTGTTCACTTCTTTGTTGTCTTTCTCTTTCTCTGTCTCTTTCTCCTATTGATTGCATTTGGGTGGAAGGCTTGGCTCTTGAAGGGAGGTCCGGCAAAGCTCTCTCAAGTTAAACTTTGACATTACTTTGAGCAGGGGAGGTTGGGCAAGGTTCCCTCGGCTATGGTCTTACTTTTGGCCTTCCTTTACATGTGTTTGTCGTTTGTTGCTGGGGTGGAAGGGTTGTCCCATTAAGAGCATGAAGCAAGAGCTCTTTGACATTGGTTTCACTTCTGTGCGTGTCTTTCACTATCTCCTATTTATTTCATTTGGGTGAGAGTGTTGGTTGGCTCTTGAGGGGAGGTCCGGCAAAGCTCTCTCAACTAAAACTATGGCATTACTTTGAGCAGGGGAGGTTGGGTAAGGTTCCCTCGGCTATGGTCTCGCTTTTGGCCTTCCTTTACATGTGTTTGTCTGCTGTTGCTGGGGTGGAAGGGTTGTCCATTTCAGAGCATGAAGCAAGAGCTCTTTGACATTGTCTTCGCTTCTTCGGTTGTCTTCACTATCTCCGCTTATTGTAATTTGTGTGAAGGGGTTTGTAGTTGTCTGTTGTTGATGGGGTGGAATGGTTGTCGTCTTGTGTGCTTGTTTGCTGTTGCCGGTGGAAGGGCTGTCCCTTCAGGAGGAGTGAGGCAAAAGCTTAACCGTTTCTGGCTCTCTGTCATCAGATCTTATCATGCACGGGTGGGAGGGCTGGCTCAGGCTCTTTTCAGAAGGTTGGGCTTTAGTGCTCCCCCACTTCCTTCACTTCTCTCACTCCTCCTGCTTGGCATCTGTTTATCTAATTTGTTGATGGGGTGGAAGCGTGTGCTCTTCAGCCAATCTAGGGCCAAGTAACTTCAGCAAATCACGCTCTTCCCCTTTGCACGTTGTGTTTTCCATCTTATTTCATTATTTTCTGTGTAGCCTTCCTCTTCCTCTATTCTTACAGGGATGACAGGGTTGTCTCTTGACCAGTGGTGTTGTATCTGTCTATCTTTTTGGAAAGGTTGTTCCAAAGGGAGCATGAAGCAAGAGCTCATTGACATTGTGTTCACTTCTTTGTTGTCTTTCTCTTTCTCTGTCTCTTTCTCCTATTGATTGCATTTGGGTGGAAGGCTTGGCTCTTGAAGGGAGGTCCGGCAAAGCTCTCTCAAGTCAAACTTTGACATTACTTTGAGCAGGGGAGGTTGGGCAAGGGCAAGATTCCCTCGGCTATGGTCTTAGTTTTGGCCTTCCTTTACATGTGTTTGTCGTTTGTTGCTGGGGTGGAAGGGTTGTCCCATTAAGAGCATGAAGCAAGAGCTCTTTGACATTGGTTTTACTTCTGTGCGTGTCTTTCACTATCTCCTATTTATTTCATTTGGGTGAGAGTGTTGGTTGGCTCTTGAGGGGAGGTCCGTCAAAGCTCTCTCAACTTAAACTATGGCATTACTTTGAGCAGGGGAGGTTGGGTAAGGTTCCCTCGGCTATGGTCTCGCTTTTGGCCTTCCTTTACACGTGTTTGTCTGCTGCTGCTGGGGTGGAAGGGTTGTCCATTTAAGAGCATGAAGCAAGAGCTCTTTGACATTGTTTTCACTTCTTCGGTTGTCTTCAATATCTCCGCTTATTGTAATTTGTGTGAACGGGTATGTAGTTGTCTGTTGTTGATGGGGTGGAATGGTTGTCGTCTTGTGTGCTTGTTTGCTGTTGCCGGTGGAAGGGCTGTCCCTTCAGGAGGAGTGAGGCAAAAGCTTAACCGTTTCTGGCTCTCTGTCATCAGATCTTATCATGCACGGCTGGGAGGGCTGGCTCAGGCTCTTTTCAGAAGGTTGGGCTTTAGTGCCCCCCCGCTTCCTTCACTTCTCGCCCTTCTCCTTCTCCTGCTTGGCATCTGTTTATCTATTTGTTGATGGGGTGGAAGCGCGTGCTCTTCAGCCAATCTAGGCGCCAAGTATCTTCAGAAAATCATGTTTTTCCCCTTTGTACGTTGTGTTATCCATCTTATTTCATTATTTTCTATGTAGCCTTCCTCTTCCTCTATTG